ATCATTGGTCTACACGGCAAGTTAATTTATGCTTTAGTTTGCAGTTGTTGATTAAGTTTAGGGAATAATGTATCAAGTAATTCCCAATTAAAGTAAGAAAAAACTTGTTTCCACTGCCTCCTACCCCGTGAAACGAAAGATGACAACTCATCAGACGAACCTGAATATGGTTAGATTATATCCAAAATTGAGAAACACAAAGCCCTCATATTAATCGATTAGTCGAAATGAAAAATGGCAAACAAAATTGCCCACAGTTCGATATATTCATACTACGTAAGGAACTGGAAGTGACGCTGGAGCACTTTCCGGAAGATTTAGGCAGAGGTATTGTTTTGTACAGTCTAATTATATCTTTCTGCAACCAAAACCTCATAAACTGCTCTATTTCTTTTGATCCGTTGCGTAGGATGAAAGACGAAAGATGTTAGTGAGAGTTCGTGAGGTTTGGCACCCTAAATGAACCAAAAAAACAATTACTTGCCAAAAAGTGCTCTAATAAGTAAGGAAACCGGAAAAATGGGTGCTGACTGCCACGGCAGTCTGAACAACACCTACCATTCGGTAAGGCTTTTCATGATTCCTTTAGCAACCGAATCAAGAACGTTGTCAAGATCGTCGTTGCCAGTCGTATTGAGAGAAGTCGACATGCGTATTTATTTACCTCTATATTAAGGAAACGGATACGATCAAGGTCGACGCTATTGTAATAACCGAGACCTGAAGATCTAACGAAGTTGCTGCGCAACAGAACAGCGGAAATCAAGTGTTCTTTGGGAAGGCCTTCGCGAATCAACCTCAAACCGAAAGCGTTGCATTCATATTAAGCTGAATGCTGCAGCATTTGAAGAGGGTAACGACACTGTATCACATGAGATAGCGTTTCTTCTTGTACAAATGAACAAAATAAGAGCACAACCAATAATCCAAGCATACAGCCCACCCAACAAGCTAAAGATAGACCGATCGATAAATTCTTCGAGGAATTGGAAAGTACAGTGGAGAAGAAGACCATATACACAACTGTTCGTACAGACTTCAATCTTTTCAATGACATCGCTAACTATCATTCCGGAAAACACAGCCTATGATAAGCTAACGCACTTCAGCAAGGCAGCCAGTTGCCTGAAGAGCCAAATTGACGGCAGAGAAAAAATGGACAACATATGCACTGCATTGTGTAAAAAGATATAGAAAAGTTAAGGGAAAACTCTGAAGGCTGTTGGAGAATGCGACTAAGATAGACTGGGAAGAGGAAGAAAAGCAGTAGAACAGGATGTTCACTTAAAAAGACGGATTTCGAATACGCTGAAAGAAGAAGGAGATTCAGCAACTACTGATCGCCTCTGATCGAAGAATCATTTCCTGATGATGACCGATGCCAGTTCGGCCGAAACGTCGGCATCATTGAAAATAGGTTTGTTTCCTTGTTTCTCGTGCTGCCAACCATGGAATGAGGAGAAAACGTTTGGCAGCTAGTCATTCCGATAAGTGGACATTGCCTTGAAAAGTTCACTGCACCAACTCAGCTTTCATATGTAAACCTGAAGTTGAAATATCGTTATTACATAACTTAATTGCCAATGCACATCGACGAAGATGAATCATGAAAAGCATGGAAGCTCTGTGAACAGCGGTAGGTCTGCTGCATCACTATTAGTGATTAAATATCTGTTGCAGCCACTTATTTTCTGAGCATCTACAAGGTCATTTCCATGAAGAAACGTCTTCGTTTGCCATCTCCATTTGTGAAATGCTCGACGGTGTTAATAGAGCCGACTAACCGTTGGATTGATTTATTTTTATAAACCTCGACAGTGAATATTTTCTGATATTTTCTGTACTTTTCCTTTCATAGGAACTTTTTATGGTTTCGAGTCTATTTGGTTGCTGATGAGAATTCAGTCAGTATGGACAAAGATTTGCATGTCTAATTTACTGAAGCAAATTCGTTTTTATCAATTGACGATTGCCCACAGCGTCTGCAGGAGTCCGAACAAGTTTTAACGATGAAACCATTTCTTTTTTATTTTGCAAGTGCATGACGGTTAGTACCAAATGTTCTTATGTAAGAAACTAAAGAAGCTGGCCAGACGACGACAGTCACTTCTCCCCACAGCCGCAGGGGGCGTCGGCAAGTGTCGGCACTGGGTCGAATTGAACGAAGTTGTCCAAACGCCTCGTAGCATAACTGAACTTAAGGGGCGAACGGAGGCGAGAGGTACAGCAGTCTTTTGCTCCAATGTGTTCTGAACGCTAACTGATGCCGCCTGTCGAGTCTAGTCAAGTGGAACTCAGTTGAATCGATCCGATCGTATGACTCAAGTAGAGATCGCCCTCGATTGTCGTTGTCGACATTTATGCAGTTTCGCGACAATGCCATCGTTGACGAGGCAACGATTATAACTGGATCAACTGTCACAGAGAACTGCTTCCAAATAAATCATCGTAAAACACAAATTGACCTGAATTTACAGTTTCAATCACTCACACTAACTCAAACACTGAAAAGGAAAGTATCAAGTTTCTCTTTCGATCACAAAAACAATCGCCGCTAATTAGTGCAGAAAGTGGGTTATTTTGAGTGAGTGCAATCGTTGTTTAATAAAACAACGAATTTGACTAAGATAATTATTCCGATCCACTTCGCGACTCGCTTTCGCTACGCGCGATATCACGCGCGAAACGGCCAGCCGTTAACAGGACAGGAAACGACCGTTTCGTTACCTTGACCCTAAGCTGATTCTTTTAAAGAGGCGTCTAGAGTGAAAGCTAAGAGTCAGCGGCAGTAAGGAGGTTAGCAGCTGTGAGGCAACTCTTGAGTCATTCAGTGAGAGGCGACTGGTGATTAAGGGACATAGAGTCACGAAAGCAGTACGTTACAATGCTTGAATAATCGGTGTAGCGGTAGTACAACAAACAACGTGCAGTCTTTTGGCACGCCTGGAATATTTGGGGCAAATAGAAGAACGCACTAGCACTGTGTTAGTAAGTTCATATCCATCAGATTACCGGTGTGATCTTCGCATCGACACGTTGCGCGATTTTGAATCAACTCTGGTACCGATAACATGATATTCGCATGAAAGTAGATAGGTACGTTTCTGCTGCTAGGTCATGCGATGTATCAGCGGACTGAGTTCACGCGGTAAAACAGCCATTACCTTCGTTAATGATGAATGGGAGAAAGTCCTCGTCCGGCTCGCAGGCAGATGGATACGGAAACGTGATGGCAGAAACTTGCATAGGTTCGTATGACGCATTGACATTCAGGTCTGGCGACGATGACGCTTCTCTCGCGTCGTTGGAACTGACGATGAAACGGCATTCGAACTTCTGACTTCGACGAGATTTGTCTGCGTTTAATGAATCCAGGAAGCTCCAACCTAAAAGTTATCCGAAGTTCAGGTTGAGCGCACACCTGAGCGTAAAATAAGACAAACAGCGTTACTGATTGATTCGGGTAAGATTCCGCTGAAAAGTTCGTAGTCCGCTGGAGCGATGAACTTGAAGATGGGCCTGTTCAAAATTTCTGATGGTCTGTATTTCAGATATTTCGTCACGTTCGATGAAACGTATTCAACTATTCCTTGATTATTAATAACGAAGAAAAAGCAACCCAACATCTGAAGATGTGAAGCAATACAGTATAGTAAAAAATCTGTTATCGCACATGCTACCTACCTCAAGCAACGTAGGTCCAAGCTGAGAGGCGAGAAGTGAAAAACTGCTTGAAGATATGTCTCCATGCTGGATGGCATCTTCATTTTCTAAGTAAGTTCAGTTTTAAAAATGATCCGTTTTAGCGTAATTATGAAAACCTCACTGGCAAGTGATCAAAGTTATTACGCCAAAAAGGCCTGAGTGTTTTAACCTTGGAATTTCCTTGAAAGTGTTGCAATGCCGGCTCCACAACGGCCTGTCCATGAGCAAGGTAGCGATTCAAACGCCAAGGTAATGTTCCTCGCCCACTTAGATTCTAGACCCATAATTCACCAGTGGATTGTTTTCTTGATGCATGGCTAGGAAACCCAAAGGTAAACACAGCTAAAAGGTATTACTAACGGTCTACGCGTCACCAACACTGGTAGCTGAAAGGCTGAAGCAGTCAGTGTTGGTAACGACTGTCACTAAAACCCTTCCGTCTCTGTATTTCCATCTCTGTTCAGTTTGAGAAATCGAATTATCCCTCTTATTTCCACACCGCCCTTTCACCTGTCAAAATTTCTCACTTTGGTGCTTTAACTGTTGAAAACTGCAGACAACATCGCTGAGCAACGCCTTGTTTTTGTCTTTCAGCTGCTCCGGTTTGCCAAAGTTTTCTTCCAGGAGGTCGAGAAGTTCCTTGTAGTACTTTCCTTCCCGTTCGGTGGAGGTTGTGGGCGAATTGAAGTCTTCGAGCCACTGGGATAACGAAGACGACGACGTCGACGAGAGAGCTCGGTTTTGGCTTGCCGGAGAACTTGCATTAATCGACGTTTGGTAGACGCTGAAAAAGATGAGCGTCGACATTCAAACGGACGTGCTTTAAGGTCGAATCAGTTTACTCGGAAACCGACGTCGATGTACTGGAAACTGCAGGTCGGTAGGAAGTGGGCAGAAATTCGCCAGCAACGTCGCCTTGCATCATGAGTCTGCACTGGAGATGAGTTTTACAACGACCGGAAGCATAGTCGACCAGCTAAAACAAGCACTTCACTTCTTATCATAGGCACATGGTCGCCGCTGCTGCTAGCCGCGTCTCAAATGCACAACTGGCGAGAGAGTGTGACTGAGTGACAATGAATTTGAAGGAATTTGAAGGTGAAAGTGCCAAACGCAGGGGAGCGGCGGACGGCCTAGGCTGCCTACACTCATGCTGAGTACAACTCCGGTCTTCTGCATGTTCTAATTTCAGCTTCACTGTCGTACAGAAATCTCTGAAGCGTCTCCAGTCTACTTTTGCCTCCGCTGATTTTGACATATGAAGTGATCTGTATCGTCGCTCGCACACTAATCACATGACCCGGTACGTGTTTAACGCTAAAGATAGGCGGTTAACGTTAGCGTTAACGCCAGCCGGAACGGTCGCTTCGGCCAACCAACGAACGGACGCTATCTTCGGTCACATGAACCGAGGGGCAGCTGAGGAACAGCCGCAGCGAGTACCGCTGAAAGATGCAGTGTGCGCTCGCATTAACGACGAAACGAATTTACTAATGCATAGTAGTGCAGCGACGACGGCAACGACGATTGACAACGGAAACGATGCGACCGCACGGCAATGGTGGTCCTCACTCGGCAAGAGCAGACGCGCCACAGTATGAAAACTGCACTAAACTGCAGTCCACTGCACTCGACCCAAGTGACGACTGAAAACAAAACCAACATTGCAGATTAACAGTGATAGCCGAGTGGCTGCGAGGATAATCACGCCTCGGAGTCAGAAGGCGCCGAAAAACGGCGAAAGCAAAATGAAAATGACAAAATTATAAACGTTCGTGATGGTTGGCGTATTCTCTTTGTGCAAGAGACTGACATGAAAAATCACCGAACGTGACCCAGTGACCAGCAATGCGATTTAGTAGTGCGATTTTCCGCCGACGGCTACCGAATCAGGGTTAATTCAGTGTCATCACGCAATTGTCGCCGCACTAATACCTGAAGTTCGCAACGTGGTCGTTGCTGCCGTGCATTGAATGCCGTTCTATAAATGTTGTTCACTCATGGTTTTGACTTAAGTAGAATGAAGTGCAGGAGAAATACGTTTCTGCGC